GGAACCCTTCTGTCGAGGATTTTACTGTGAATCCTTCTTATGGGGGCGTCCAATAGGAATCCTTCCAGGGGGGAGAGCAGATGTGGTCACGTCGCATTCCTTTTTTTTTTCTCCTGGCGCGCCCCCCCCCCAGAAAAAAAAGAAAGAAAAATACACTGTTTTTTAAAGGTGTTTTTGTTTGTTCTGGGGGGGGCGCCTGGAGAAAAAAAAAAGGCAGAGAGGTAGCATGAGGGGGAGAGGGAGGGGGAGGAGGAGGAGGAGGAGGAGGAGGAGGAGGAGGAGGAGGAGGAGGAGGAGGAGGAGGAGGAGGAGCATTCGGTTGAGCATTCGGTAGGTGGTTATACCCCGCAGGGTAGCGTCCATCCCGGGCCGGGTGGAAACACCCCGCAGGGCCTATATCCCCGCGGCTCCGGGGCGGGGGCGTTGTCCCGCAGGACCTGGCCCTGGAGAGCAGCAGGCTGGAGTACGGAGAGGCAAGAGGTAGCAGGAGGGGGAAGAGGGAGGGGAGGAGGAGGAGGAGGAGGAAGAGGAGGAGGAGGAGGAGGAGGAGGAGGAGGAGGAGCGGAGGAGGAGGAGGAGGAGGAGGACGACACAGAGCAGAGTTTGCACAGAAACAGTCGCGAACTCAGCGCGAAACCCTCGCGCGCGCGCTTTTGAACCCCTGCGACTCCACAATCCCCCCGCTCCTCTCCTCCTCCTCCTCCTCCTCCTCACTCCTCCATCCTCCTCCATCCCTGCTCCCTCCCTGCCTGCTCCCTTCTCCTCCTTCTCCGCCTCTCCTCCCTCATTCCTCCCCTGCTCCTCATCCTCTCTCCTCCTCCTCCCTCCTCCCTCCTCCTCCTCCCTCCTCCCCCACCTCCTCCTCCCCCACCTCCTCATCCTTCATCCCCCCATGTCGGGTTTGCGTATGTTTGCGCAGCCTTTTGTTCTAAGTAACCTGGGTTGTCATCCTGTTTTTTTTGTGAAGCTCCCGGATCCGAATCAGGGCCCCCGAAAACCGAAAATGCTCAAAACCGTCCGTCCTCGTTTCTTCGGTCCTCAAGGTTTTCGCCGTTGGCGGCCCCCCGGGGCGACCTCTCGTGGCCACGGCAAGAGGCCCTTCGGCAGTCTGGCGAGGACGCACCCCTGGACAGGCCCAAGGGTCAACTTCTGGACCCTTCATGGCCCAGACTGGATCCTTCTGGACCCTTCTGGACGCACCCCTGGATCCTTCTGGACCCTTCATGGCCCAGACTGGATCCTTCTGGATCCTTCTGGACCCTTCCTGGCCCAGACTGGATCCTTCATGGCCCAAGGGTCAACTTCTGGACCCTTCATGGCCCTTCTGGACCCTTCTGGACGCACCCCTGGATCCTCCATTGAGGATCAGGAGCGTAACGGGCACGGCGGCCCCCATCCCCGACTCAGTGGGAGCACATACGACGGGGGGGAGGCTTCCATCCTCGACAGCGGTGCGTCGGATGACCCCCCCCCTCGGGGCTGTATCCCCCCATGCCTTCCCCCTCCTTGCCGAATGGCCAGTTGCTTTTTGAGGGGGGGCAACTTGGGCATCGAGGGCGAGAGATCGCGTGCGAGCAGAGGCCGACCGCCGCCGCCATCCCGTCGGGAGGACGGCGACGGGGTGTAACAAACGTGGGGGGATTCCTCCTCCTCCTCGACCTCCTCCTCCTCCTCCTCGTCCTCCTCCTCCTCCTCCTCCTCCTCGTCCTCCTCCTCCTCCTCCTCCTCCTCGTCCTCCTCCTCCTTCTCCTCCTCTTCATCCTCCTCCTCCGCCTCCTCCTCCTCCTCCTCCTCCTCCTCCTCCTCGGATCGAGGACGGCAGGGGACTGGACCCAAATGGCTCCCAGAACTGCCTCCGCGGGGGCCCACGAGGTGCAGCACGAGGGGGGGCACGCTGCCCCCACGCCCGGGCATTGCCACACCTCTTCCTCCTCCTCCCTCCTCCTCCTCCTCACTCCCTCCTCCTCCTCCTCCTCCTCCTCCTCCTCCTCCTCCTCCTCCTCCTCCTCCTCCTCCTTGGCATCCTCACGTTAAACGAACACCGTTAAACGAACACCGATCCAGCCTCAGCCTCTAGGCACGATCGACGCTGGAAACGATCATCTCGGTTCAAGCCTTAGTGCGCCCTGGAAACGACAAGGTCGTTTTTTGATACCAGTCCTATTTTGCCGTTTTTCTGCCGGTTCCGTCGCCGGTCTTCTTACCGGCTCCGTCTTTAGTTGTTTACCGGTTATGGCTCTGGTTCCAATCCTGAAGCCGTTGCTTGCCGTTTCTGGTCGCCGTTGTTTTGCCGTTTCCATTTTCAAGAGGCATTTTTTCCGAAAACTATTAAAATAACGGCCCAGCCGTGTCCGGGGCCCACTAAGGTCCAAGCCGTGTGGGATATAGTAACATTATAGTAGGGGCCGGGCCACAAGGAACCTTCCACGAGAAAACCAGCCCTGAGACCCCAGGTCGTCCATTGATTTCTGGTGTAAGAACGTCACGCCTTCCATCGCAAAACTATCGAAACGCAAGAAACCACGGGCACCCTGGAGGCAAGCAAGGCGCTTCTTGGCATGGGTGTCTTCAGTATTTACTACCGCTACTGAGATCCCGATCATCGCCGTCGAGGTCCTGATGCTCGGCCCATCTGGCTCGATCAGGCTCGATCCTTGACCGAGGTCCAATTGGGACGCCCGAGATTTCTGCGGAAACGAGACTGGCGAAGGACCCAACCATATGCAGCTGTGAATACCGCGTTGTAGTTGCCGCTTTCGGTGGAACTCCTTGTGGGGCCACGAAACGCGCGAGAGGTGTGCCGTAATGGTGGTGGGAAGCGCATGCGAGCTGTGCCAGTGGGCCTGAGGTGAAGCTCTCGATGAGCCCACGAAACGCGTGAGGGGTGCGCCGAAATGGGCCAGGGGTCTGCATGCGAACGTCGCCAATGAAGCCTTCGGTGCTCGCGGCCACGGCCACTGGATTCTTCGGTGCAGCTCCATATGGGGCCTCAAAACGCTGTACTGCGTGGGGGGGAGCATGCGGACGCGGCCACTGGGGCCTTCGTTGGAGCCTCCTATGGAGCTACCACGCGCTGTATTGGATGGAGGAGACGCATGCGGCCGAGGCCACTGGAGCCGTCAGTGGAGCTCCCTATGGGGCCACGAAGCGCTGTACTGGGTGGGGGGGGGAACATGTGGACCCTCCCACTGGGGTCTTCGGTGGAGCTCCCTATGGGGGCGCGATACGTGCGCGTGGTGTGCCGAAACGGGGCGGGGGAGACGCATGTGGACCCTCCCACTGGGGCCTTCGGTGGAGCTCCCCATGGGGCCATGGAACGTGTGAGGGGTGTGCCGAAATGGGGCGGGGAGACGCATGTGGACCCTCCCACTGGGACATTCGGTGGAGCTGCCTATGAGGCCACGAAGCGTGCGCGTGGTGTGCCGAAATTGGGCGAGGGAGACGCATGTGGACACTCCCACTGGGGCCTTCGGTGGAGTTCCCTATGGGGGCACGAAGCATGGGAGGGGTGTGCCGAAACGGGGCGGGAAGGCGCATGTGGTTCCTCCCGCTGGGGCATTCGGTGGAGCTGCCTGTGGGGCCACGAAACGTCTGCGTGGCGTGCCGAAATTTTGCGGGGAGGCGGGCGTTGCCCTTCCTTCCGGGCACTTCGGTGGCGTTTCGTTTGGGGCCACGAAGCGTGCAAGAGTTGTGCCGAAATTGGGCGTGAAGACGCATGTGGACTCCCCCACTGGGGTCTTCTGTGGAGCTCCCTATGGGGCCATGGAACGTGTGAAGGGTGTGCCGAAATGGCGCGGGGAGACGCATGTGGACCCTCCCACTGGGGCCTTCGGTGGAGCTCTTTATGGGGGCACGAAGCGTGTGCGGGGTGTAGCAAGCTGGCAGACTCTTGCGGAGAGCAGAAGTAAGGAGGAAGAGGAGGAGGCGGAGGAGTGATGGAGGAACGCAGAGCGCTGTCTCTTCAAAAAGAGGATCCAACACCAAAGATGGTTGGGGAAAAATGGGCGCGCTGCCTCACGACGAATGCTAACCGACACCGACAGCGGCGGCTGTTGAGAATGCGACAGTTTGCCTCATGCTGGCGACCTCTGCGGCGACGCCGACAGCGATGCCTCTTCCAAACGGACAAGAACTGGTGTCGGTCTTCGTCATGACTATTTCCATACAAATCTCGGTCGCTCCGAGCCACAGACCGACCGCCGTGACCGTCCAGCCTCGACCCCGAGCCCCCGGCATATCAGCCGCGCCACCTGCCCCTATGGCATCCCCGACCGAAGACCAAAGGACCGACCGCCAGCAGCCGATCCAGCCTCGACCCCCGAGCCCCTGGCACATCAGCCGCGCCATCCCTGGACAGATCGAGGGATCAATTCCTGGACCCTTCATGGCCCGGACCAGGCTCCATCTTCGATTGGGAGCAGACTAACGCGAGGTACGACGGCGGCCCCAATCCCTTTTATGGGACTTTCGATGGGTCAAGCAAACTGTGGGGCCCAACTCGGGGACATACGAGAGGGGGTGCGCCCATTTCGACAGGGACGCGTCTTCTCGCGTCCATCCTCGATAGGGGTACGTCCTCCAGCCTCGACCCCTCGAGCCCTCCAGCAAAACGCTGTTTGGGAGTTGGGAGCCCAACTCGAGGACATACAGTGGGGGGGCGTCCATGCTCGATAGGGGTGCATCCTCCAGCCTCGACCCCCGAGCCCCCGGCATCTATCAGCCACGCCACCCCTGGAGAGGTCCCTGGGATCGGCTCTGGACCCCTCATGCCCCAGACAGGCTCGATCCTCGACCGATCCCCAGGTCCTCGAGCCTCGAACCTGGCCCTCCTGGATCCTCGATCCGCCCTCCTCCATCCCCAATCCTGAAACCGACCCACGACCCTCGACCCTCGACCCTCCATCCTCCATCCTACCGATCCTCGACCCTCGATCCTCGACCCTCGATCCTCTATCCTCCATCCTCCCACCAGCCTCGACCCCCCCCCCCGAGCCCCCGGCAAAGCAGCCGCGCCACCAGCCCGCGCCGCGGCGCCCGCGGCTCCGCCTCCTCGGCGCCGCCGCCGCCGCCCTCGACGGGCCGCTCCCGCGCCGGGACGTCGTCGGGCTGGACCAGGTTGCCCTGCCCGCGCGGGGGAAGGGCGGCCCAGGTGCGCACCGACGCAGGTGCACACCAAGTTGGACCGTCGTCGTCGTCCTCGTCCTCCTCCCTCCTCCTCCTCCTCCTCCGCCTCCTCCTGTTCCTCCTCCTCCTCCTCCTCCTCCTCCTGCTTCTCCTCCTCCTTCTCCTCCTCCTCCTCCGCCTCCTCTCCTCCTCCTCTCTCCTCCCTCCTCCTCCTCATCATCATCATCAGTATCATCATCAGTATCATCATCATCATCATCATCATCATCATCATCATCATCATCATCAGCATCAGCATCAGCATCATCATCATCATCATCATCACCATCATCATCATCATATCATCATCATCATCATCATCATCATCATCATCATCAGCAGCAGCAGCAGCACCATTATCATCATCAGCAGCACATCATCATCAGCAGCAGCATCACCTCATCACCAATAGCAGCATCAGCATCATCACCACATCATCAGCATCATCATCATCATCATCATCATCAGCAGCATCATCAGCAGCATCAGCTCATCAGCATCAGCATCATCACCACCATCATCAGCATCATCAGCATCATCATCATCACCATCAGCATCATCATCATCATCATCATCATCATCATCATCATCATCATCATCACCATCACCATCATCATCGGCGGCATCACCAGCATCTTCCTTAGTAGCATCATAATCAGCATCAACATCAGCAGCAGCATCGACATCAGCAACAGCATCATCATCAGCAGCATCATCATCAGCATCATGATCATCAGCAGCAGCATCAGCATCAGCATCATCAGCATCATGATCATCATCATCCTCATCCTCATCATCATCATGAGCATCAGCATCAGCATCATCATCATCATCATCATCATCATCATCATCATCCCCCTCCTCCCCCTCCTCCTCCTCCTCCTCCTCCTCCTCCTCCTCCTCCTCCTCCTCCTCCTCCTCTTTCTCTATCTCTCTCTCTCTCTCTCTCCAGCGGACGAGGGCGGGTGTATAGCACAGAGCTGTCCGCCATCGGGAGCACCCGCCGCAGGTCACGCACGGCCCGGGTGTACTTCTGGCCCAGGGCCCCCGCGGCTTCCCACGACGCTCTGGACCCCCCCTGGGGCGCACCGGGCCTCGCGATGGGGTGCTCTGTATGGGACGCTGAAGGTCATAGAGTCATACTATTACTATACGGTGGGGGCATTGGACAAGGAACCCTTACATAAGGAATCAAGGGTCTGGACGCCAGTGGGGCTCCACTGGTGGACCAGCCATGGATATCACCACCGCCGTCACCAAATTAGGAATCCTCCAGGGTCTGCAGTTTCCTGGGCGCATTCCTTACCGAACGCCCCCACCGTATGTCCTCCTTGGAGGCGTGCGTCCGACCCGAACCTGCACCATAATCATCTTGGAGCAAGTCGTTTCCCGAGCGGTATGGCCAGAAAGCGCCCGCCAGAAAGCTTATCTTATGAGATTTCTCGGCTCGCGCGTCGCCCCTGGGGGTGCGACACACACACACACACACACGCGCGCGCGCGCGCACATAGTATTCGTTTGTTGCTCTTGGCCTCCCCGGAAAGCCCCATGCTGGCGCGGGGAGGGCGGCCCAAGCGAGGGCAGGAATCTCTGCTTCCGCTGCTCCTGTTGCTGCTCGTCATCTTTGCTCTCTTCCTCCTGCTGCTCGTCGTCTTCGTCCTCCTCCTTCTCCTCCTCCTAATCCTCCTCCTCTTCCTCCTCCTCCTCATCCTCCTCCTCCTCTTCCCTCCCTATCTCCTCCAATTTCCCTCTTCAAAGCTTGGTACCATGGCGCGCACGGCAGACTACACACGTGCCCAGAAAACAATCAGAGTACGAGTCAGAACATTACCCCTTTTGTCTTGCATCTGAGGCCCACATCTCTACGACGAACACCGCTGGTACACCACGCACGTCAGAACGATCATTGCACAACTTTAATAGTCCGATGTATCGATGGCTGTTGCAAACAGCATGGGGCCACATCGGATGCGACAGACCCATCGCGATACCAGAGGCAACCATCGCTGCACAGCCAGATGATGCTCTCCTCCAACCCCTGCAACTCCTCCACGTTCCCCTCCTGCTACTCCTCATCTCATCTCATTCCCCCCTCCTCCTCCGCCTCCTCCTCTTCCTCCTCCTCCTACTCCTCATCCGCTAACGTTAAGCTAACTTGGATTAACTAGAGTCGCAGCGTCTGTCCTCCTCATCCTCCTCTTCTTCCTCCTCCTCCTGCTCAACCACCTCCACATAAAACGAAGCCAGGACGAGGTTCGAATTTGGTAGAGACAAACAGAGAATCTCTGAGGTCTTGCGGATCTGGAGGATGTCTCGGGCGCCGCGGCCTTCTCAGAGCGTTCCAGGACGCTCTGAGAGCGTTCCAGAACGCTCTGGAATGGATTCGTCCTCGTCCTAGCCCGACTACCTCCACATCCGCTGCCTCCCCTCGGCGCTGCACCCGCCCCCATTCCCCCTGCAGGGCAGCACCGCTGCGATGCAGCATGGTGTGACCTGGTACACACCTTCGCTCGCTCGCTGCGGCTGCACAGACTGACGGGGCCAGCCTCTGCCCGTCGGAGATCCCGCGTGCACCGCTCGGCTCGGCCGCCCTCGCTGTCGGACGGTTTGTCCTGTCTCGTGTTGGGGGCTGCGGTCGGGTACTTTCGGACAGCGTGTCACCACGGCGGCCTCGGCGACACGCTGTGCCATGCGAGCCGATAGCGGGTCGCTGCGCGCCGCGGGGCGGGGGGCTCGGGAAAGCTCGGGATGCTGACGCCGCGGGCCCAGGAAGTGGGCAGCGCGTCGCACCGAGGCGCGGTGGGCCAGAACCGGCGGAGCGACGCGCTAACTCCAGAAGCTCCCGACGGCATTTGGAGGAGAAGGTCGAGGTTCGCAGACCCCTGGCGCTTCGCGGCACTCGAATCGGCAGGTGCGTCGCCGATGCTGCGCCTGGGGAGCATGGTTTTGGTCCTCGGGGGCGAGAGGAGAACGACCCGGGACGAACGAGACTGAAGGGGCCCTGGGACACACAAATAGATACACACAAATCAAATTATTCCCCATATTTTCCTATATGTTCTGGGTTTCTGTCTTCCCCACCACCTCCCATATCTTGCATATTTTCTGAGGGGTCGACGATTAATTGTGTCTGTGTTTCTTTCCCTCCTGAGCTTTGGTCCTCGGGGGCGAGAGGAGAACGACCCGGGACGAACGAGACACCCGCCGCAGGGGGGCAGGGGTCGATCGGCCCAGGGGCCCACGCCACGAGCGAATCGACGCGCCGGGTGTCTGGGGCGGCCGCGCTGGCTCTCAAGAGCACCCCGGCTGTGCCCACTCGACTGCGTTCAGATCGGGCACGTCCTCCTGCAGGCTGGTTTTGGAAGAACAATTCGGCGGTGGACAAACCTCCCTTTAGTAGACCTCCCCTTAGTGAGAACGGCCTGGGACCGAAACCGACGGACCTGGACCCGCAAAGATGACGGCCGCGACGCCCTCTCGCGAACCGAAAACGGCCAATTCCGTAATCGACGTGTCAGGGTAGGAGGTCTGTCCACCCCAGAACAATAAAGCTTGCCAAAACATAGTCAAGAAGATAAGACAACTCGTCCCCAGACTATGTTTTACCATTCTTGAATCTTCCTCCTGTAGGGGGACAGGCCGCACGTAAGACATCGCCCTACCGCAAGGGACGTGGACACGGGAGCGGGGGGCCCTTCTGGCCACGGCGAGCCCCAGCCACGACTGGGCGGCGCCCGAGGGTTGGCCGCCTCCGGCCCAGGGCGATCAGACAAAGTCCGCGGGCGCCGCTCCCGGATCGCTGCCTCGGGCGCCCTGCTGCTGGCGGAGGAGGAGCAGGCGAGGGGAGGAAGCACGCGGAAGGAGAAGGAAGGAGGTGGAGGAGGAGGAGGACGACGACGACGACGGAGCATACGCAACAAACATTTTTATACATATCTATATATCTATCTATCTATCTATCTATCTATCTATCTATCTATCTATCTATCTATATCGATATATATATATATATATATATATCCACTGAGACACCTGCCCGCGTGCGTGCAGCCTCGTGGCGGAGAGGAAGGGAGGGAAGCGTGCCTGGAGAGAAGGGCGCGCGGCGGCGCCTGTGGCTTCAGCGGGATCAGGATGTCCAGCCGCTTGCCCTTGGCGGCGCGGGGGCCCCCCGGCCGCGCCGCCCTTCCTCTGCCCCCTCTCTACCAGCCTGGAGCATGTCCCTGTCCCTGTGCTGGGCACCTCCTCATCACGATGCCAATCTTAGGGATTCCCTTCTTTTTTGAGCGCGTCAATCTTAGGGATAGGGATACGTTCGAGGCTGGTAACCTCTCTCTCTCGCTCTGGCGGGCCGGCCTCCGCCCGCGACCCCCTCGGCGATCGCGAGGGGGGGCCGTCGGGCGACACTCGGCCCCTTCGTGGGTAGGGGGCATGAACTACCCCTCGGTCGGCAAAATGGGTGGGAACATGAGGTAGGAAGGCGTTGATAGTAGATGTATGTCGGGCGTGTCCACCTACAGAGGGATTTTCGACGAAAAATGAAAAATACCCCAAAAATGCTCCAAGAAGAAATAATAATAATAATCATAAGAATAATAATAATAATAGTAATAATAATAATAATCCCCAGACTCTTTTTGGATTCTTTTTGAATATTTTGGGGGTATTTTTTATGTTTCGTCGAAAATCTCCCTGTAGGGGGACAGGCCCGATTTCATAGTAGATTGGGTGTCCGCCCGCCCACCAAAGAGGACGGAGAAAGGTGAAGGCACTCGATCATTGACGTCGGAAGGTGCTGAAAGCAGATTTGAACCATTGAATCCAGAACTACCCACTTTCAACGACCGATGGATCATGGGGGGGCGATACGGGGGGAGAAACGTGCAGCTTCGAGCCCTTTTTGGGGTCCGGTGGGGGCCCCTTCTGGGCCCCCCCCCTGTGGGGCCCCTTTCGGGTACAAAAGGTGCACCCGTCCTCTTCGGGAGCGGCCAAGAGGGGCGTGTCCAAGAGGGGGGGGGGGTGCAAATCATGACCAGCGGCATGTGCGCGGCCCAGCGGAGGGGGGCCAGGGACGTCATGCAATAAGAAGAGGCACCATGAAATCTGGGGAAATATCATGGCCCCCGCCATGATATTTCCCCATGGAGGTGGATGAGGCGGAGGAGGTGGAGGAGGAGGAGGAGGAGGGAGGAGGAGGAGGAGGAGGAGGGAGGATCAGGAGGAGGAGGAGGATCAGGAGGAGGAGGAGGAGGAGCTGGAGCTGGAGGAGGAGGAGGAGGAGGAGGAGGACGACAACGAGGAGGAGGAGGAGGAGGAGATTTCCGCCCCCGACCGCTGCTCCCTCTCTGGCGGCCAGCCTCCGCCCGGGGCCCTCCCCCGAGGGTCGATCGACGAGGGGAGAGGCCTTCGGACGTCCATCGGCGGCGAGCGAGGGGGGGGAAGGGCGAAAAGGCGCAGGGCTGGAGCTGGGCAGTTCTTTGCGTTGCTCGTTGCTGTGCTGTTTTCGTTGTGCCCTTCGCCCTGCCTTCGTTCTGGCTTTGCAGCGAAACGGAATCCGCCGACCCTTTTTTGTTCGTCTTCTTTTTTGTGTGTTGTTTGCGACCCTGTCGGCGTGTGCGGGGGGCCTGTCCGTTCGAGTCGTCCTCCCCTTCGTTCGTTCGTCGTCGTCTCTGTCGTCCCCTTTCCCTGCGCGCCCCCTTTCCCTGGGCCCGTCGCCGCTCCCCCCACTTTCTCTGAGCCCTCCTCTTCAAGCGCTGGGCCCGTCGCCGCTCCCTCCCCCCTTCCCTACGCCCTGCTCCTCCTCAAGCGCGCCAGCCAAAGCGAGATTGAACAACGTCGTAATTGACTCGGAGGGAAGCCTCCTTTGATCCCTCCCCCGCCGGGAGGGGGGGGCGTCCCGGGGGGGTCTGGGGGGGGGGGTCCGGTTCAGATATGCCTCCCCCCCCGTGGGGTCCTGGGGCCCAACAAAAAGCCCCAAGACGGGCCAAGAGTGCCCCAAGAGGCCCCCAAGACGGTCCAAGAGGGCCACGAATCGCCGAACGATATGTTGTCCAAGACGCCTTCACGGCCTCCAGACGGCCCAAGAGGCCTGCACGACGCCCCAAGAGGCCTCCAGGAGCACTTCCAAGAGGGCCCCAAGAGGAAAAATCATTGATTCCCATTAGTTTTGAAGCATTTCCGCGTTCTCGCCTCTTCAGCTTCCCGCCACTCGAAGACGGCACAAGAGGCCCCCCAGATCGCCCCAAGACGGCCCAAGATGGCTCCAGGAGGGACCCAAAACGGCCCAAGAGGGCCCCACGACGGCCCAAGACTTCTCCAAGACGGCCCAGAAGGCCACAGGACGGCTCCAAGAGGGTGCCCAGACGAGGGACCAGAACAGAGATTTCGAGCCCTCGGCCCCGAGAGGCTCCCAGGAGGAACCAAGAGGCCCCCAAGAGGCCCCCAAGAGGCCCCAAGAGGCCTCAAAGAGGCCTCCAGGAAGCCCCGAGGCCCCCAAGAGGCCCCCAAGCGGCCCCAAGAGGCTCCCAAAAGGCCCCTAAACTATCCGCCAGAGGCCCCCGAGGGCGCTTCGAAGAGACCCCAAGAAGCATCCATGAGGACTCTGACGTACGTCAGCGTCGTCGTCGTCGCTGCCGCCGCCGTTGTCGTCGTTCCCCTTCAGGGTCGGCAGCACCGGCCGTAAGGCCTTCGGCTATCAAAAAGAAAACGCCCCGCGAAATCTCCAAAACACCGTTGAGCTCGAGCCCTGAGAAGGAGAAGGCATTCTCAAAAGGCGGCGGGGCTTCTCGGAAGCCCTCGCGCCTTCTGACAAGTTTTCTGCGTCTTCGGGGAAAACTTAGAAAACCTCTCAGAAGGCCGGGGGACTTCCGAGCCTTCTGAGAAGGCCCGCCCCTTCTCGCTTCCTCCCCGAGCTCGCCGCCGAGTCAACCAGCCCCTTGTGGAGGAGGAGCCTCAGGAGGCCTCCGGAAGACTCCGCGGAGAACTCATGGGGCCTCTGGATGCCCTGTGGGCCAGGGTTCAGAGCGGAAGCCACTTTCCGCCAGTCCCCACCCCTCGCTCCTCGACCCTGTTCAACCTCCTCCAGGTCCTCCGTCCACTGGTCCCCCACCCGCCTCCCTCACTCATCGGCCTCCACCGCATCACACTGCTGCCACCGCCCAGTTTGATCATTGCTCCGCCCGCCCAGCAGCGAGCATGTTGCCGTCCAATGTTGTAGCGTTAAGCCTAATTGCGACAGTCTGGAGGGGACGTGGGACGCCGGGATGCGCGGCAGCATCAACCAGCGCATGCTGGGCTTGCCGCGGTCCTCCTTCCACCCGCTGCCGCTTCCTCCCACCTGCTTCGGCAGGTTCGCGAGGGAGCTAGAGCGACACCGTTAGTTTCAGATCGGCAATCCCACCAGCCCTTTGGGCCAAGGTGGTCTAACGAGTTCTTCCTTTGCTCTTTCAACAAGAACTCTTCCAATGGAGGAGAGGTGCCCTCCCCATCGCCTCCCTGAGATTGTCTGGCGGGGGCCGCGAGGTGGCAGAGGGTCCTTTTTCGCCCAATATGGCTCCAAAAGGGCATCCTATGATCCAAGACGGCCTCCACGGCGGCTCAAGATAGCCGAAGATGTTTCAGTATAGCTGACATGCCTCCAAGAGGCCCGACGAGGGCCACAAGACGGCTCTAAGTGCTCGAGAGCCCCCATCAAGATCCGCCCAAGAGGCCCAAATCCCTCAAAGACCTGAGGAACATTCATGGTTTGCGCCTTCTCGACGAGTCGCTTCGGGTGCGCTGTGTGAGCGCGAAAATGGCCCCAAGATGGACCAAGAAAGCTCCAAGATGGGCCCAAGAGGCCCCCAAGACAGCCCCAAGAGTGCCAAAGACCGCTCAAAGAAAGCCCCGAGAGCGCGCCAACAGGCGATCTAGAGGGCCCCAGGGGGGGGGGGAAAGGAAAGGACCCCCCCCTCCGCTGATCGATGGCCCCCAAGATGATCCCAAGAGGCCTTCCAGGGGCCCTCTTTGGCCAAAAGGGCCCCAAGAGGGCCCCAAGGAGGCCCCAAGCCACCCCAAAGGCGACTTTGAGGGCTCTGTCCTCGTCCTCGTCGTCGTCCTCCTTCTCCTCCTCTTCCTCCTCCTCCTCCTCCTCCTCCTCCTCCTCCTCCTCCTCCTCGTGTTCCTCGTCCTCGTCCTTGCCCTCATCGTCGTCCTTTTCCTTTCCTTCCCCTTCCTCCTCGTCGTGGTGGTCGTCGTTTTCCTCCTGCTGCTCCTACTCCTCCTCCTCCTCCTCCTCCTCCTCATCCTCCTCCTCCTCCTGCTCCTCCTCCTCCTGCTCCTCCTCCTCCTCCTCCTCCTCCTCCTCCTCCTCCTCCTCCTCCTCCTCCCCTTCCTTATCTTCCTCCTCTTTCCCTCGCCCCCAGAAGGGGCCCGGGATGGCCTGAAGAGGCCCTCCAAGGCCATCCCCTTGCTCTGTTCACCATGATTGTCCGTTTTTGTTTCACTATATGTCTCTTCGTCCCTTTTCCCGTCAGCTCTCATGGGCAGGGTTTCTGAATGGGCTTGTGGGGATTTTTGTTTTCGTCGCGGCCGCAAGCGGAAGCGCAGGCGGCGTCCGAAGTCAGCCCGGGCTACGAGCCAAACCTAATCACCTAAGCGCGCGAACTAACGGCCGCCGAAACTGCCGCCGAGGAACGCCGAGGAGCGACGCCGGGGACTGCACTTGTGAGGATTTTTTGATCTGCGGCCCAAAGGACGGTTCCAGAGGGCGGGTCAATCAGGCTGACTGGGGCACAGAGCCAGATAATTTGCGAGTCCAGCCGTCACTGTCGACAGCCGACCGCACCTGCAAGCATGCCGAACGGAATTCAAGGAGACGCACCTTAGCGTCGACAGGTGGGACTTGTGGGGATACTTTTTTTTGTTTGTTTTGATTTGCGGCCCGCAAGGAAAAGTCCAGAGGGCGGAATGAGGCAATGGGGCGCAATGCCAGATGATTACCATGCAAAGACCACTGGGCACTTGTGGGGATACGCGGAGCGTGAAGAATTTGGCCACGTCGCGCTGCATTGGCGCCCCGGGACGGCCTGGGGGTAGGTAGTGCGCCCTCCATCGCCGCCGCTAATTGCTCTTCGCTTCTCTGGAAGTTTGCCCGCGAGATCCCGCTGGGTCTCCACGCTTCCCCCTCTCCTCCGCCCCACCATCGCCCGCGCAGGTCGTCGGGCCCCGGTCAGCTCGCGGCCCCCCTTTGTCAGTCAATCGCCCCCCTCTTCCTCCTCGAGGTTGCGGCCACAGCCTGGAAGGCGGACCTCCCCGTGCTGCACCTGACCCGAAAGTCGTGGCCTTCCCCGGGAGCAACTTCTCATCCTGGATCGCTGTCTCGACGGTCCCCGGGCCCGGGGACAGTGCCCCGGGTGCTTAACCAAAAAAGGACCCCTAACCCTTTGGGAGGGGACCTGAGTTAGGAGGGCCAAAGACATTAGCCTGCAGATGTATCAGACCAAACTGCCCAATATTATTACAATGAGAAGACGGGGATCTAAGTGAGGCCACGTCTTCATCGTGTTATGAGGGTTTCAAGTTGTTTTGTGCTCTATAACTGGGATCGCGAAGACGGGGAGCGAAACTCCAGTACGCGGGAGGGAGAAAGAGCATCCATGGCATGCCGCCGTCAGTAGCCCATCGGCGCGTCACTGCCCCGGCGTTGCGATTGCAGGCCTGGCGATTCTTCGCCAGTGCCACGCTGATGAGTTCCACACGGCAGCCTGCCATCGATGCTATTTGTGCTCCCGAGAAAGACCCGTATCTCCGCCGGTGGACCCCTGCGTGGAGAACCCCCCGGTGGCCTCGAGCCACTCGAAGTCGTGGTCCTGGAGCTCCAGGCTGCACCGCAGGGTGCTGAACAGCTGGCGCAGTCCGGCGTAGTCGGGCCGCTCCCGGAAGCCGAGCTGCGGGGTGCAGTGGCAGGGTCGGCCGGCGTCGAGCCGGGGAGGAGTCGCATCGACCGGAGACGTGTGCGTCGGCACGCTGTCGAGAGCAGATCGGCTCGGCCGCGTCAGGACGCACAACAGCGCCATGCAAGCATCGCCCTGACCTTCTCTGGGTCGCCCCCGTATGTCAAAAAATGACAAACGTCGCAACAACCTAAAACGAGAGCTATTTTTAGGTCACGGTTTAAGTAAATAGCAAACTTGGCACACCCAAACCTAAAATCCTATTCCTGGAGTTAAAATGTTATTCTAAGAGTTATTTATAGACCTATTTATAGAGTTATTTATAGAGTTATTTTTGTAAGGCTCTGACAACGTAGTTCGGCAAGGGACGGCCAGAGATTGCCACAAGACGGCCCCCGAAGCTCCCCAGACTCACCGAGGAATCTCCGAAGGGGCCCAGTGGCGCAAAATCTCGGAGGGGATCGAAGATCGACGAACAGCCAGCCAAACACATGCCCCTGGGAACAATCAAGATCTCGAGATGCGCGTTGGACCAAGAATTCGAAGCGGCTCCAGCCGTGGCGACGAGAACGACCCAGAGCCCATGAGGACCGAATAAAAAAAACAAATCCGAATCGTCGATCGTTCGATCCACGAATTTCGAACCTCGAAGAGAAGCAGCGCGCCGCGCCCCCCAAAGGGCGGCCGAATCGAGGGGCAGGACGTGACGACGACGAAAACGAAGACTCCTCTTCCTCCTCCTCCTCCTCCTCCTCCTCCTCCTCCTCCTCCTCCTCCTCCTCCTCCTCCTCCTCCTCCTCCCCCTCCCCCTCCTCAGCCTCCCCCCAGTGTGCCTCCTCCTCCTCCTCCTCCTCCTCCTCCTCCTCCTCCTCCTCCTCTTCCTTCCATGGCGCGTCCCGCGCCCTCTCCCATCCTCATCACTTGCCTCGCCCGATCCGCTCGGGTCGGCCCAGGGGCGCCGCTGGAGGCCGACAGTTGCGCGGAACCCCTGAGGGGATCGACGGTAAACGAAAATTCCGTTGATAAAAAAACGGCCCTGGGATAAATCCAGAGATGCGCGCTGGACCAGAAATTCGAAGCGGATCCAGCCGCGGAGACCGACCCAGGGCCTCGATCGAGGCCCGAAGACGGCAAGACAACACAAAACCGAATCGTCGATCCTTGAAGTTCGACCCTCGAAGTTCGGACCTCGAAGAGGAGCAGCGCCGCTCGGGGGCGACCGAGTCGAAGGGCGGGGCGGGGCGACGACGCCGACGCCGAAGCCGACGCCGACGACGCCAGGGAGAGGGACAGAGAGAGAGAGGGGGGAAACAAAAGATGCTGAGCGCGCACTTTCACTCAACCCGCTCATGCACGGCACAGCGCCGCTGATCAGTCCATGCGCTCTTGCACAGCGCAGCGCTGGAGCACAGTAAAATTGAAGGTGCTGGGGTGCGCAGCCACGGCGATGGTTCTATCTACACCATTCTCATGTTCATCTTCATACGTGCTGTAGTACTTTGGGTTGCCGTGCTGCGTTATGCCCAGCGTCATGTGTATGAGCGCGTGGTGTTTCGGCACGCACTTCGCACCAATAGCGCCCCATGACACGTTGAAGCGCACAGCGAGCTGCATCAGCTCGTCTCTCGCCTACGCGAGCACAGGCACGCACCGTCCCGAGAGGCCGCCCAATGAGGGATGAAGGGTAGAGGAGGATGAGGACTGAGGACTGAGGATGGGGGGGGGGCATGGAGGAGCGAGGGATTCGGGGGGCAATGGGCAGCGGAGGGAGGCGGATCAGAGGAAGCAGCGGCGCCTGGAATGGCATGTTCCTGTGCTCGCCCCCAGTCAAGGCAATGTACTTTGAGATCGCTTGGCCAGCGGATGCAAGCACGTGCCCCCTGGCCCCAAGGATTCCCACGAACTCCCGTACCAACCCCAGGGTGAAGGGCAGCAGCATTCGAGATTCACCTCCTTTGATTTTCAGGCAAAGCTGACGTCGTTTGCCCAACATCTTAGCAGTTATCTTCCTGATGGTGGTGATGGGCTTAGTCGGGTTTGTGGCCTTGAGGGTCTTGTAAAATGTTTTGAGTTTCTTCCTTAGCACCATCAGGCCCAGCTCGAACCTGTCTTTCTTAGTGGGGCCCTGAGTGTCGAACGCGTCCCTGTCTAGAATATCCACGATCACGCGGCCGTGGTAATACTGCAATATGCCCAGGTCGATTGTGTGTAGCATACAATCGACGAAGCCATCGACGCAGAAGAACTCGACCCCGAACCCCCATATACCCTCGATGTTGAACATCGCACTCACCGAACTGATTGTCGACTGTTTACGAGGACGAAAAAACAGCACCTCGCAAGGCACCTCGAGGCCCTCCAGATCATGCATGGTGACGACGGGGCCCCCGATGGAGAGCTTGTCGCCGTGCTTGAGGCCCCAGGCCCGCCCGCGGTTCCTCTGGGCAGCGCGCCCCCACGGGTACGATTGCTTGTACACGAGTGCCGCGCACAGACGCTGCAGTTCCAGCGGGGTCTCCACTCGGACCCAAATCAAGTGCGAGCGCAGCTCAGCCTCGTAGGACGCCTGGGTCCTTGGATCATGGCAATTGCGTGGGGGGCGGGTGCGGGGGCTATAGCCCCCGCGCCCATCCCCCACGCAAGTGACAGGCAGGTCGAGAACGGGTATGTGGGTGGTGGGGTGGGTGGGTGCGGGGGTGATGGTGTGGGGCGGGGCGGGGCGGGGTGGGTGGGGGAGGGGGGGTGCGCCTGCGCGCGTGTGCGCGATGCGCGCCCGAATGCATCGACGAGGGCGTTTGGGAAGTGGAGGGCCCCAGCGCAATAGTTTTTCGAGCTGGGTTCAGCCGCGGCGACGACGGGCGCCCACGCAGGAGAACCGCCCGAACATGGACCCTCGGGGCCCGAGGGCCTGTGCCCACCGCCACCGCCTTCCCCCGTCCTCCACCGCGCCCCCATCCTAGTCCCGATAGTCCAGGGCGCGCTGTGAAGAGTGCACTCCGCGTACCCGCGGTGCATCTGAGCAGGCCGAGCCGTGCAGCATGCGCAGCCTCCCCCGTGCCCTTTCAGGCCCGCCACTGCCGTTCTCTCTGGCATGTCCCCCCGATACTCCACGAGCGCCGCATAGCCAGGTAGGCGATCGCCCGCCCTGGACGCCCTGCCCAGCTCACTCGGCAAGAACGGCGTGCCGTCGTGCCTGAAGGGGGGCGGGGGGGGCGCTGCGCAAGCAAGCAACCGGCCGTCGCCGCCGATCCCCCTCTCAGTCTCGCCCTCCACCCACCTCACCCGCCACTCATTCCACCGCTCTCTCTCCCCCTCCTCCCGCCCGAGCCAATGCCTCAGTCACTCCATCGCCCCCCTTCCCTCCCCCCCCAACATCCCGATGTACCATGTACCCTGACCTTCCAGGAGGGCTAAAAAATAGCACCAGGACCTCGATATCTGAATTCATGTCGAGGTTTTAGGCGGCCCAGATAGGTCTATAGGTCTGGAGGGCTATCTTTTAGCACTCTGGAAGGCCAGGGCATTGGAGCCCACGCCTGCAGGAGGGCAGTACGCCCCGCTGGGCCAAGTTAATAGCCCAGTTGACTACGATCATGAGCTGATCTGTGGCGCACCGTCCGTTACACCCGCACCTGCAAAGTTGAGAGCCGAGCACTACCCAGACAGTCCACCGCCGCCGCCTAAATGTCGGCCCAAATGAACAACGAATGAAGTTGTCCTTCTTCGTAACTGCTACTTTGTCTGTGTAGAGGCCGACGGGGACGACTGAGCCGTCCGCCTGGGCACGAACGATAGGGTGCGACGTGTACTGGGAGGTGCGGTAGTCCTCTGGGTCCAACGCCCCTAGGTCTAATTCCTGAGGCGTCTCTTTCCAGCAAAAGTACAACAACTCAACGGGGAGGCGAATGGGCATCCGCATAGACTCACGCACATTCTTATCAGCGTTGTAGACGGGGACGTCCGCATAATACAAGACGTCGCTTAGGTCCCTAACCCCGAGCGCCGTCTGAATCTTACGGCTGTGGTTTGACCCGCGGGATTCGAGGGGCACGGCGAATTTTTCCAGCCCTCGACCTCCAGCATCACCTACAAGTTGGGACAGGGTCGCCAAATCTTTCGAATTCCAGAGGCCGCTGCTCCACTTCGCGGCACAATACCGAAACAACTTGTCTTCGGGGCCCCCAGGCTCGTACCCCGACGAGGTCTTGTCAGGCGTTGCAGCGGTAGCACAGGCAGACGCCGCAGCAGCACTCACCACTGCGGCCCCCGCAACATCGCCAGTCGAGTCGTCCCCTTCGGGTGGCGGCGCAAAACTTGACAACACCTCAGACACTAACACGCTGCTTAACCACGAAACGAACTGACGCATTACACGGTGGTAGGGGGTGAGGGGCTGGGCCGAAAGCAAATGCATTGATCGCACCGTCGGCCTCCGTCGCTGCTTGGCGGCGCGGGCGGGCCCGCGGCCAAAATGGCCTTCGCCGCGCGCATGGCGCGTCTGAGCAAGAAACGCACCGCCGCAGACAACCTACACAACCCCCATTCCCCCTCGCCCACCGCCGACCACGTCCATCTTCCACCCTGACCTTCCAGGAGGGCTAACAATAGCGCCAGGACCTCGATATCTTAATTCCCGTCGAGGTTTTAGACAGCCCAGATAGGTATATAGGTCTGGAGGGCTATCGTTTAGCACTCTGGAAGGTCAGGGCACGTCGCCCTCCCCCCCCCCCGTTCGCCCCATCGATCGAAGCAGCCTCCCCATCGGGTCCGTCGAGCAATCAGGGAATCGTTTCAGTGGGCCCCATCTGGGTCCCGACGGCGCCCCTAAAGGCACCTCGCCGCCCCTGCCACTCATCCCCATCGCGTCCCTCCTCGTCCCTCGCCCGCCGCACGCGCTGCTGCTATGCCTCGCTGCCCGCGCCGCCGTCGACCGCGGGGTGGGCGATGCCGCCGCTCCCCCGCGCGGCACTCGAGCACGAGGCGCATTCCTTCTT